TAAGTTAGTGGGACTCAGAACTGACCCTTGGGGTACACATGCAGGAACATACAAGAAAAGGAAGATAAAAATACTAAACTTTACATACATACTTGCTAAGGGCCCTAGAAGCTAACCAAACAGTATTTTAAGTTTCTTTTTTTTATTTGATTTTCTTCCTTTGGTGTGCATGTATTACAAAATTATTATATATCAGTCGATTTTTTGCCGCAGGATGAGAAAAAATGTGTAGGACTGTATTAAATAAGATTAGATATAAAAAAGTTACAAAAACCAAATAGCGCTTTTAATAAAGTAAGCCAAAAAATTAGGATGCGTTTTAAGCACTCTTAAAAATTAACATTTTTGCTAGATTTGCATTTGCCGGGCGCATTTTTTGTTGTCGCCCATGCCCGGTGTTCCATTAAAAATTCATACTCCTATGGATTTTATCCAAATTCAAACAGATGGGAACTGTTTGAAAGCTGTATTATTTTACTTTCAGACCACGTAAAAATTTTAAAAGTCATTATAAACGTGTGTAAAAATGTGTGGTGATTAGTGACCGTTAATCGATATTTATTTAGAAATCGTGAGATGCGGTCTGGTGTGATGTAGGTTTCAGAAANTTAAATGTAAACAATGTTTGTAAATCCCAGGCCCTGAAGATGATCTCAATAAAGATCGAAACGTTGGCACGATAAAGAAAATGTTTTTCTGAAACCGACATCACTCCAGACCGCATCTCACGATTTCTAAATAAATGTCATTATAAACGAGAAAAATAAAGATGAATTCAACAATAAACCATAAACCCTGAAATGTTTTTTTTTTTAAATCTCCGGTTCTACAATAATATTTACGGAGGCCATGTTTGTGCCATTACGTGTCGTTTACGGGGTTCAATGAAGCCCAGCGAAACCAAACGAATCCAAACGTTTCCCACAAGAGCAACCTACAGATTTGAAAATCGCACATTTTGAAGAAACCTTTTGGGTGCGCGAGAGGGAGGCTTAGGAGCCGAAAAAACCATATAACTAATTTAATAATATATATATTTTTTTAATATAGGCTTCTGTCATTATTTTGTGTGTATATCAAGGTTGTAATATACCAGTTTATTTATTTTTTAATTTACCATAATGAGAAAACAATATGCAGGAAAAATCACCAAAAAGGTAAAGGCGCTCCCAGTAAAGCAGGCCAACATTTTTTCAAAAATCAATTCGAATTCATTATAAGCACCTTTTAAAACCATTATATAAGATTTTTGTAGTAAACCAAAAATATAAATTTTTGGCTGGTCCATGGGCAATTTTTTCTCTTCCATGCCTGCTCATGACTCATATGAATTTTATACAAATTCAATGTTATAACAACCTCTTTCAATTAATTAATCTTTATGTAAGGTATTGGTTGAAATGAAAAAGTTTGTATCACGAGCGGGATTCGAACCCATGACCTCGGCTCAATACACTGATCACGATACTAATGTCATGATAGCTCAAGTGGTTAGAACAGCGGTGTATTGAGCGAAAGGTCGTGGGTTCGAATCCCGCTCGTGACACAAACTTTTTCATTTCAACCAATACCTTACATAAAGATTGATTAATTAAGTGAAAGAAGTTATTTGATTAATCCGACCACGAAATATAATGGGGTTATAACAACTGTTAGAAAGTTTAATCTTTTTTCTTTTAGAGTATATCAACAACTACTATAAATGAGAAAAATAACGATAAATTTGACAAAAACCGTTTAAATATGATATTTTTTAACTGCGTTTCTATTTTTTTAATATNAATTTTTTTCCTTTTTTTTAATGGAAACCAACTTTGGGCCATCATGTATAGTTTATAAGCTCCCGATCCCTTGTAGAGTTTCCTGTGGGTAAGTTGTATTTCCAAAGCTATTGAAAAAAAGTCCATCTTTTGTTTTTACCAAAAATTTTTATTTAGGAGTTTTTGCAGGCCCAAAAAGCAAATATTAATTTTGTTTCTTTATTAAAAAAAAATTAAGCTACCTACTTTGCTACGTCGCTCACAAATTATGTATTTCAGTAGGTAGCTTAAGCATTTATGACGCAAGCAACGTTGGCTTTTTATTCTTTGTAGTTAATGGGGTTCAATGAAGACCAGCAAACCCAAACGAATCCAACCGTTAGAAAGCTTAATCTTTCTTGTTTTAGACTATATCAAAAATGTTTAGATTTTATGCCATTATCAATAACAAAACGAGATTCTGTAAATTTAAATATTCCATTTTTTATCCGCGTTTCCAATTTTTTTACTGAAACCAAGTTTGTGCCATCACGAGTAGGTTATAAGCTTCTAAGACAGTAAAGTTTCTTGTGGGCCTGTCGAGTCTTTTCAAAGTTGTCACCATTGCTTTTTGAAAAAATTCAAAGCATTCCGAAAAGCGAAAGATTTGAGAAAAATAAGTGCATTTTTAACTTTCCGAACAATTTGTTTTCAGGGTTTTGGAGGATTAAAAAACAATTCTTCTTGCCAAAAATAAATAAATAAAATATTGTACTTTGCCCTATATCAATTATGCTAGATTTTGCCACGTGGCATTTTTTTTCTCCTATATGTATAATATATATTATATAAGTGAGATAAAATATGATGAAATCACCCAAATAACCTCAAATTCTCGATATTTTTATCTCTAGTTTTAATTTATTTATGGAGGGACGTTTATGCTATTATGTGTGGTTTATAGAGTTCTAAACACCTGCAAGAATTTCTGAGGACGGGTGGATTCGATTCAAAGTTAAGAAATTTTTTGTGATTTTTGAAAAAAAAAATCGTAAGCATTTGAAATGCGAAAGATTTAAGAGAAAAAATTGTTTATTTGGTATTCCCAAAAATTTGTACTCAGGGGATTTTAGGGGTGAAAAAACAAATATCGATTTTGTTTCTTCCTAAAAAAATATTTCAGCCTGCTTTGCTTCGTTGTTCGGTCATAAATTTAGATAAACTGAACGATTTTTTCCCCGAAAATCACAAAAATGGCGATAACATTAAAACGAGTCAACGGCAAACTTAACAGGGATTTAGAACCCTCTAAACTGCACGCAATGGCATAGCTTTGGCTTAATTTTCGCCCTTTACGGGATCAAATCTAAACATTGTTGACACAGACATAAAGAAGTGAAATTTGGCTTTCGAACAGTTGTAATAAAGTAGAATTTCGATAAAATCCAGAGGAGTTATGATATATTTAAAAGAACACTGGACATCGGGGAGAAAAAAATTGCCACCGGCCAATTTAGCCCTAAAACGTATATTTTTTGTTTGTTATGAAAATTCAGATTTAAAGGTTTTAAAGGGTGCTTAAAAAGAATCTAAAGGCGAAAATTCTAAGATAATTTTTTTTTATTTACTCAAAATATTTGAATACTGGGTTTTTGGGGTGGGAAAAACGAATATGAACTTTGTCTCTCCAGCCAAAATATTTTAACCTACTTACCCTTAAGATGGTTTGAAAATTAATGAATTATGCCTGTTTAAAGTTTTATGCATGGGATGTCGCCATTTATTATTCTTCTCGTTACCAAACTTGATAAAAAAAATGTTATTCAAGTGTTTTAAAAAAATGTGTATTTTTTGTTTGTTGTGAAAATTCAGATTTAAAGGTTTTAATGGGTGCTTAAAAAGAATCTAAAGGCGAAAATTCTAAGATAATTTTTTTTTATTTACTCAAAATATTTGAATATTGGGTTTTTGGGGTAGGAAAAACGAATATGAACTTTGTCTCTCCAGCCAAAATATTTTAACCTACTTACCCTTAAGATGGTTTGAAAATTAATGAATTATGCCTGTTTAAAGTTTTATGCATGGGAAGTCGTCATTTATTTTTCTTCTCGTTACCAAACTTCATAAAAAAAATGTTATTCAAGTGTTTTAAAGAAATCTATAATTTTTGTTTGTTGTGAAAATTCAGATTTAAAGGTTTTAAAGGGTGCTTAAAAAGAATCTAAAGGCGAAAATTCTAAGATAATTTTTTTTTATTTACTCAAAATATTTGAATACTGGGTTTTTGGGGTGGGAAAAACGAATATGAACTTTGTCTCCCAGCCAAAATATTTTAACCTACTTACCCTTAAGATGGTTTGAAAATTAATGAATTATGCCTGTTTAAAGTTTTATGCATGGGATGTCGCCATTTATTATTCTTCTCGTTACCAAACTTGATAAAAAAAAATGTTATTCAAGTGTTTAAAAAATGTATATTTTTTGTTTGTTATGAAAATTCAGATATAAAGGTTTTAAAGGGTGCTTAAAACGAATCTATAAGGCGAAAATTCTAAGATAATTTTTTTTTTATTTACTCAAAATATTTGAATACTGGGTTTTTGGGGTGGGAAAAACGAATATGAATTTTGTCTCTCCAGGAGAAAATATTTTAACCTACTTTCCTACTGGTTGCTCGACCAGAAATTCTTTCGAAATCAAATGAGACCTAACAGAGAGTTTATGTCAAATTTGTTTGTGTTCGATGATAATAAGATGAACAGATCGAATATCTTGACAGGACTTATCATTTGATCCAAGGACTTCACCCTCGCCCGGTTTTTAACCTTAACTACATCTCTTAACATCTCTCTACATCTTTAACTACATCTTGTATTTATTCTCGCGAAAATGATGAACACGTCAGTCTGTAATTACGTGAGCCGTAAAAGAACAAATCCAACAAATTTTCAATAAAAGGAATTTTCTAAGAAATCGACTTTTTTTTAATGCGTTTTATAATATGCAATGTTAATAAGTTGAGCGTGACACCGGATCTGGCACAAATGAAATCACGGCTTAAACGAATTGTGGTGGAAAGAGCTGTTCAGCTCCCTTGTTGTTTATTTACGTCTCCCCCACGCTCAGCTACCGAGTATGGTTATTTAACTATTTAACCGATTCTGCTAACCGTTGTCACCAATCAAAATTCATGGGCAGCCGGCCTGCATTTCCAGAATTAACACGCTGAGTCACGCTTCTCATGATTTCACAACGCTCGCGGCTCAACCGAATTATGACCGTCTTCAGTGCACTATGAGATTATCCAAACTATCTGATGATCATGTTTAAGAGGGGCAATTCGAACAATCCATGGATCGCTGACTCACTCGTCAGCACAGAAAAACACACAGGGTAATTTTGAAACAACAATAATTCGATTAAACCATTTTTTTAAACAACCAAACTGAGAAGAATGAATGAATATTATAACTTTATTAAGGCTGAAAAACCCTTTGGTACGATAAATGCTACAAAAATGCACAAGTCAGAAAATACTCCAAATCCTGGTGGATCATCATCAAAGAGATTCATTGACGGTTAGGTTTCTACGAATCGCCCTATTTATGTTGAATTAGATCTATTGATTGAATTGGTCCTGTGGATCTTGAACCAATATTGGTCTCTTGTGCCAGTAAGGGTTTTCACCAGATCCCAAAGGATTACTTAAGGATATTTATCTTTCGGGTCTTGGCTTTCCTCTCCCACGTGTAGAAGCCTCAGGTTGCATAGGCCTTCGGCCCAACATAGGACATGTTCCGATGTTTCTTTTTCTTGTTAACATGTGGGCAGGCTAGTTTTTCCAGGTCATATGCCTTTGCAGTCTTACTATCATCCTAGTCTGCCAGGATTTATCCTTCCTGACCGGATTCTATCACTTAAGGCTCACTCCGTCCCTCTTTCTCTTTCTTACCCACTCTAGCTCTCTCTCTCTCTCTCTCTCTTTCTCTCTCTCTCTCTCTCTTTCTTTCTCTCTCTCTCTCTCTCTTTCTCTCTCTCTCTCTCTCTCTCTCTCTCTCTCTCTCTCTCTCTCTCTCTCTCTCTCTCTCTTCTGCTTTCTCTCTCTTACTCAAAACTCTTTCTTTCGTTCGCTCTTCTCTCTCTCTCTCTCTCTCTCTCTTTCTCTCTCTCTCTCTCTCTTTCTCTATCTATCTATCTACCTATCTATCTATCTATCTATCTATCTATCTCTTTTTCTGTCTCTGTCTCTATCTCTATTTCTATCTCTTCTTCTTTCCCTCTCTTACTCACACACTCATTCTTTCGTTTGCTTTTCTCTCTCTCTCACTCTCTCTTTTTTTCTTTCTCTCTCTCTCTTTCTTTCTCTCTATCTGTCTCTATCTCTTTTTTTGTTTTGTCTCTGTCTCTCTCTCTCTCTCTCTCTCTCTTTCTCTTTCACTCTCTCTGTCTCTATCTCTTTTTCTGTCTCTGTCTCTATTTCTATCTCTTCTACTTTCCCTCTCATACTCACACACTCATTCTTTCGTTTGCTTTTCTCTCTCTCTCTCACTCTCTCTTTTTTTTCTTTCTCTCTCTCTCTTTCTTTCTCTCTATCTGTCTCTATCTCTTTTTTTGTCTTGTCTCTGTCTCTCTCTGTCTCTCTCTCTCTCTCTCTCTCTCTCTTTCTCTTTCACTCTCTCTGTCTCTATCTCTTTCTCTGTCTCTATTTCTATTTCTATCTCTTCTACTTTCCCTCTCATACTCACACACTCATTCTTTCGTTTGCTTTTCTCTCTATCTCTCTCTCTCTCTCTCTCTCTCTCTCTCTCTCTCTCTCTCTCTCCCTCTAACCCTCTCTCCTCCTCACCCTCTCACCCTTTCTCCCTCTCTCGCTCCCTCTCTCTCTCTCCCTCCCTCTCTTGATGATGGTAAAGTAAAAAAAAAGAATAGTTCAATCACTAGTGTTTCCTTATATCCTTATATGGACTAAGCTGGATTAAATATGTGTATTGAGTGCATACTAAACTTAACAAATTATAATAGAATGTACGATAAATTTAAATTACTAGAATTTTTACAAATAAAAGACTTGATAGACTACTATATTGCGTGCACTACGTATAAAATAATAAAATCAAAAACCTCTGCATAGAAAAAAGGATCAATTTTTTACGAGGGTATTTCAACTACGAGGTTATTTGAACCCGCGGGGTGCCGGTATTTTTGAAAGAAAGCCCATTTGTAAGTATGCAGGGCCGCTGGATTCGAACACGGGACCTTTACCATACAGTGATGAACGCCGTGTCAACGCCTAAACCGTTGCGGCCACCGACGCCCCTAAGATCAAATTTAAAGCTGAAGTTCATACTCTGAACATTACGAATAAAAATAGGTATATCCTGGTTACAAAGCATAAGACTAACACACTTAGTAATTCTTTTTTAGTTAAAGGGGCAAAAGTGTTTTCAGATTTACCGACTGAAATTTAAAAATTCAAAAATATTACTCATTTAAAAAATCTATAAAAAATAATCTACTTTCTAGATATGTATAAAAACAACATATTAAAAAGTTTAAAAGTTGTAAAAAGTAAAAAATTAAAAGTACAAACATTCTCTTTGTATGAATGTAACATATATAGGTTAATTTTAAAAATATCTTACTTAAATTATCTACAAAATTTGTTCTTGAATATAAATCAAAATAATTGTTTCCTTGTAAAATGATACCTCGTATAACATTTTTTTTGTTAGAAGACCAAATCTTACGTGATGTATGTATAAATAAAATGGAAGTCAATCTATCTCTTTCTCTTTCTCACTCTTTCACTCACACTTTTCCTATTTTACTCAATCACACACTAACTCTTTCACTCTCTCTTGCTCTCTTTCTCACTCTCACAGTCTCTCTTTCCCTCTTTTACTCATTCACACATTCACTCTTTCTCTCGCTCTCTTTCTTTCTTCTCACTCTCTTTTTTTCCCACTCACTCTCTCTTTCGCTCTCTCATTCTCTTGCTTACTCACTCTTTCTCATCTCTCACCCTTCCTTCTATCTATCTATCTATCTCTATTTCACTCACTTTCTCTCCTTCAATCTCTCTTCCATTTCTAACTTACTCATTCAGTCTCTCTCTCTCTCCCCCCTTCTCTCTCTCTTTCCTTCACTCTCTTCCCCCTTTCTCTTTCCTTATCATTCTTTTTATTATTCTCACTCTTGTCCTTTCTTTATATCTAATCTATCTGTATTATGTTGAAGTGGTGTTTTAATATTTTAAAATAAATCAAAACCATGTCAAGTAGAATAATCTGAGCCCAAATCTTACGTGATCAATAAATAAACGTACTCTCACTCTCTCTCTCTCTCTCTCTCTCTCTTTCTTTCTCTCTCTCTCTCTCTCTATCTCTCTCTTTCTCTCTGTCAAGCTTATAAATACAGTCGCACATGGGCGTAGTCACTTTTATGCGAGAGGTTGCGTTTATTGGTGTACACATATTAAAAAAAGCAATTTCAGCAATGAGTGAAATAAGACAATTATAAGAATTAGATATTATTGCTAAATACCCCATTAAGCAGTCATCAACAGATTTTCCTTTAGTCGTTTTTGTTGCGTGCGGGTATGCAATAAAACCGAAGTGAAAAGAATTAGGTGACATTCATTTGTCCGGCATTTTGTACGAAATTGTTCAGAATCGTCTTTACGTCGTTTTCGGTCGATTTTGTCAGAATGGAAATAGTATCCGCGGTGCAATAATTTGTTTAAACCTGAAAGCAGATCGTGCAAAATCACTGATATCAGTCTAAACAGGGTGTCAAAAACTATGTCACGACCTTTTTTTCAATATCAAGAATAGCTTAAACATAATTTTAGATGTTAAAAAAAATTTGGCGTAAAAATTTAATACATTTCTGCAATTTTTATACAGCTTACTACATAAATTATATTCAACTCTTTAATTTTAAATGGCACTCAATATTTTTCTTTTATGAAACTAGATTTATTCAAAGATGGGTTGGAAATTAATGAATTATGCCTGTTTAAAGTTTAATGTTTAAAAAAATGTTATTTAAGTGTTTACAAAATATAATTCAACCGAATTTAATGTCATTTTAAGATTACAAAGATTCTGAGAGTGAACTTTGAACTACGAGAGTTGATTCAATTGTGATAAACTCTATCTCACTCATTTACTTTTTCTCTTTCTCACTCTCTCTTTCACTCAAATTCTTCCTCCTTTTCTTCATCACACACACGCTCCATTTTCTCTCTCACACTCTCTCTATCACTATCTATTTACTCTCTTCCTCTCTCTCTTTCTTTCTTTCTGTGTTTCTTTCTCGTTTCTCTATCTTACTCCCTGAAAATCTGAGATTCTTCCTTTTTTTTCTTCATACCACACACTCTCTCTTCCCTCTCACTCTTTCGCTGTTGGTCTTTCTTTTTCATCTTCTCTTAGTCATCCCCCACTCAAATTTTTAAATCCTTCTCGCTCCATAAAAATTGCTGTCCCACCTTCTTTTCTTCATCACACACTCCCTCTCTTCTTAAGCTTTTATTCCTTGTCTATCTTTAAACAGACGTAACATAAATTTAAAAACGTTACTTTTCAATATTTCCCGATTTTTGTTATACTTTTCTCAGAGAAAAATCTAGTTTCATAAACTATGACAATGAGAAAACATGGGGTGCCATTTGAAGAGTGGGTATGATTTCGGTAGTAAGCTGTATAAAAAATAATGATTTATTAGGTATTCAATTTTTACGCCTAAAATTAAGGGGGTTACCATTTTGAATTTTATTATAGCTATTTGTATTTCTTAGTGACTTGTTGTTTCATAAATTGTTGAAGTGAACACACACTTTCACACAAAACCAATAAGAGACCACAAGAATAGCACCGCACTTTCTGCCCTGAAGATGACCGGAATAAGGTCGAAACGTCGGCAAAAAAATGGAAAAGGTGTTTTTATAAACTACCTCATTCTTGACCGCTCCTCACGACTTCAACAAATTATTCTAGATGTTCTTGATTTTGAGAAAAAGGGCTGTGACGTTATGTGTCAGACAAGGTGTAAATTAGGGAGGAAGTATTTTTAAAAAGTGCCGATAATTTTGACGTCAATTTTAATTGGCTTTATTGACGTTACGACCCAATTTCTATTATGAACTTACTTTACCGTTTCTAATTAAATAGGTTAATAGACGATGTGTAGAAAATAGGTAAATCACCTTAGTGGTGTCAAAAGCTACAGACCGAAGTAAAATAGGTAATGCGTGCGTACGAGGTGTTTTTGTGTTAGTGGGACGTTAAATAGTATTGGAGGAATTGATTGCCGGCCGGAGGTTCCTAGTAGGGGCCGTGCCCCTCCTGGAAGGTATCGACGTCCGAGGAGTCCCCAGGGTGTCGATCTCTAAGAGGTCGAAGGTTACCAGCACGATTCCGACGTGAGCCCCGCGGAAGATGTGGAATCGGGGTGCGCGGGGCCGGTGTGGTGTGGGATACGGCGGATCCCCTTCCACCGCCTCCCCCCACGATGTTTATAACATATATATAAAACGGTCCGCACCCGCCGCCAGTCCACATGTTTTCCTTCCAACGGAATGGTCTATGAACCATCTCTTCTTGACTTTTTGACGACGTAATCGCGATTAGTGTTGGATATGGGCAGGTGGATGTGCTTTACTATCGTTGTGCTCCCGTTCCTCTTCGTCGTTGTACAGCTCGAACGGACCCAGGCTCGTCTGGTGACCAAAGATTTTGTCGAATCTCTTGGGCTCAGCGACGTGCCGAACATAGCCAAGGTAAAACATCGTCTTCTGTTTAGTCTACCGCTCTTTTAAACGATCCAACGATCCCTGCACCGCCTTAGGCCCTCCTAGCTTTAATTTGTTTATACATTTTTTTTTTGGAACGTTGTGTACAAAAAATCAGGAGACTCCTTATCTAGTAAAACCGCAACGTAACATCAAGAAAAGTAAAACTCACAAAAAAATTAAACGCGTCGTTTTCACTTTTTAACTCCTTGGCGCGAAGAAGTCAAAATAGCTGACGCCAAAAATTTCAATGAGAGACTGACAGCAAACTTCCTTTCTTGTCGCCGTGTTGATCCTCTTCAGGTCATTCGACAAAACGGTTATAAATTTTTGGCAGGGGGTTTCCATACAAAAAGTCCCTTTATCTGTAATATACCAGGGAGGACTTCCGTCCTGTGCCTCATTAGGAGCTCCTAAAGATTTTTTCCCCGATGAGGCCTTTCCGATACCTGAGGATACCCTAGGCTCGAAACACACCCCCGACGACAATCGACTAAAAAGATTCCGAATAAAATATATCAAAATAACATGTTATTTGTGTGGTAAAAAAATTCAATCGATTTTTTTTCCAGATGAACGTCAGCCAGGATGACTATGCCCGTATGGTCACAATCTATACCAACAGGAGGAAGCAGACAGATCTTCAACAAGTTCCCAAAATCCACAGGCGTTTCTATTCGATAAAAGCTGCAAGTAAGTAGTCAGTCATCCAAAGTTTATCCAAAATGCACAAATTAAGGATATACAAAAAGCTTCTTAGTTCTGTTTATTTCCAATGGCTAACGATAGATATATTTGTGATTTTCTCAATTTGCAAAATTCTTACAAAAATTATGACGATAAGAAGTCTGGTCGACGAATGGACGACAAGGCAAAGGGAAAAATTATGCTCTGCCTTAAAAAAATCAACAGCAAACTCCTATACAAATCTTTTTATTTACTTAGTAGGTATTCCAAAAACGTAGTTTAGTGTTTCTTTTTGGTGGCTTTATAATTTTCCACCTATCTCATGTGAAATATGAAAAAGTCTGTTGTTTATCGAAATTGTTCCGCTATGTATCATAATTACCCGATAGTCTCAAGAGAATGATTTTAACTGTAAGCAAAACAAAAAGAAAATTAAAACAAAAATTATTGCACCACAGCTAGATCTGTTCAAATAATGGGAACAGTAACGCGAGCGGGGCCAGTTCTGAAGAACGATCGAAGATGCTCGACGGGTGAGTCATTGCCTTTTCGACGGGCCCGGTGGAACGCGTCAGCTCGGATCGAAAACGCAGACCCTCTGATGGACCGGCTGGCGTTTCTGCGTCTACCGGAAAATATATTGATTATTTCAAAATTTCGAAAAAGAACTAGCAAACGAGTCGAAACAACATTGCGGTTCACTGTTATATTGTATCTACTTTTACCGGTTATTTCTGCAAATTTGTTGTTGTAAACCTTCAGCCTCCTTACAGAACGTAACTTCTAGCATAAATGTCAAGTTAAAACAGTGAAGTACAACGGAGGCAACGTGATACAAATTCATGAAGAGAAAATGAACCAAAGATTAAAATTCCACTCCTTACTCTCATGCTGTTTCTTTTTCACCGTCTCTTTTTGTTCTCCCATTCAAATTCTGAGATTCTCGTCTTTCTTGTTCTCCCTCCCCCTTTTTCTACTTTGCACTCTCTCTTTCTCTCTCTCTCTCTCTCTCTCTCTCTCTCTCTCTCTCTCTCTCTCTGTATTTCACTCTATCTCTCTTTTTCATTATCTCTCACACACACTTTCTCTCTCTCTCTTTCTCGGACATTCACTCTAGCTATCTTTTTCGGTATCTCTCACTCTTTCTCACTTTCCTCTATCTTTTTCTTGGCTTCTCTCTCACTCTTAGTAGTCACACTCAAATTCTCCCTCTTTCTTCATAAAAAGTGTTTTCCTTCCTTCTTTTTCTGCATCTCTCACTCACTCACTCTCTCTCTTTTTCAGTCTCTAACTCTCTCTTTGTCTCGATCGCTCACTCTGTCTGTCTTTCTCAGCATCTCTTATTCTCTCTCTTCCTCGGTCTTTCACTCTATCTTATTCGGTATTTCTCTCTCTCTCTCTCTCTCTCTCTCTCTCTCTCTCACGCTCTCTCTATCTCGGTGTTTCTCTTGGACTCTCCGTCACTTCTCTATTTTGTTCTCTTTCTCTCATTTATATTTCTGACACTCAACTTCTCTTTCTTTCTTCATAAAAAGTGTTTTTCTTCCATGTTTTTCTGGATCACTGTATCTTTCTTTCTCGGTATCTCTCACTTTTTCTCGGTCTTTCTCATTCTCCTCTTTCTCTCTTTCTTGGCTTCTTTCTCTTTCTTGATTTCTCTCGCTATCACACACCTCTTTCTCTCAACTTTCTCTTACTTACATTCCTAACACTAAAATGCTCTCTCTCTTTCTTCATAAAACGTGTTTTCCTTCCTTCTTTTTCTACATTACTCTATCACCCTCTCTCACTCTTAGTCCTCCCACTCAAATTCTCTCTTTTCCCACAAAAATTTCCTTCTTTTGATGCACTTTATCACTCTCGCACTCCCTCTTTCTTTCTTTTCTTCTCTGTCTCATTTTTCATTTTCTCTCTCTCACACGTTTTTCATTTTCTCTCTTTCTCTCTCTCCCTCTCTCCTTATTTCTTTCTCCTCTTCTCTGCCTCACTGTTTCCTTTCTTTGTTTCATTCTCTTTCTCCTTTATTCATCCTTCATATCTCTCTACGAACAACAGCTCTATTTTTTCCTCTTTCATCACTCTTTCAACACATCAAAATCATTTTCACGAGTACAGAAGGATCTATCTCAACGGAAAACAAAAAACTCGTGGATATTCGGTTGCGATTTTTATAAACGTTGAACAAAGAAACGAAATTCTGCGGTATTTTCGTAAACTGTTTTACGGCATTTTTCAAGTCCGGCGAGTACCGTTACAGCGTAAATTGTACATTTTTGAATTGCAAAAAAAATGTATATGTCTCTTACGCAAACACTACAGAATAAGTGGATTTATATAAATTAATATTATTAATAATCCATCATATTTAGGGGTCTGATTGACCAAATTATTTTAATAATATCAACACCCCAGAGCGCGTTAATAATCCTTAATTTATTTAGTAATTTAAATTAAGAAATACAAAAACTCTAAAGCTAAACTGTAAAGTCAATAATGTGTCGTAGAAAATGCCATTGGCAATCTATTCAAATTTAAATTAATAATTACGAAAAATCCGTATTTTCAAGTCGAAAATCTCCGCCTACGTTTAATTGGAGCAATCCTAAAAGTCAATGTGATTTAATAATATTAGCGCTATTTTTAGAATATAAGGAGGCGCCCAGTGCTTGTGTGTTGTGTGTATTTGGCGAGGGGAGGGTTTATATACAAGATAAAAAAAATGCGAGGGCGTCAAATAGAAAACAAATAATTTTAGGATTTTTCTCCCGATCCGTCGTATGTCACGTAGCTAATAAATAAATAAAAAAGTCTTAAGTATAAGACGAACTCCTTGTCGACTGTCTCCGTGATAAACAATAAAGTTAAATTTCGATCGTTCCTATCTGTGGGAAGTAGGTGAACAGGTATCCTTGAAAGAGTTTATGAATGACCCGTGGCCAGTGGGCGTTGAGGAATCTCTATCTCGAAATATTCTCCCGTTTTAAAATTAGCCGCGGGAACGGCTAAACCGAGATGCCGATGATGGACTTCGATGCCCCGAACGGGCGCCTCAGGCCCGCTGATTAAGTTGTTTGTTTATACTTGACGGAAAGAGGGGAAAATTTCTGTTGATCCGTCAACAAATCCTAACTACAAGAGAAAGAAAGGAATCTCTCATTCAAACATCCCCTGGATTATTATTACTGTTGTTGTTGTTGTTGTTAATATGGACGTTGTTGTTGTTATGTTTTTTAAACACCGCACGGATTTATCAATAATTAACCTTAACCCCAGTCAATAGTTTACAGGACGTTTGAAAAACATTGTTATATGTAACAAAAAATAAGATTTCATTCACTTTTTTTATTTATTTTACTAACAAGGGAAGGATGTAGGATCATCGATTTCGATGAAAATTGAAACCTATTTTGATTATAATAGGTCGAAAAATATTAGATGCATGTCCGAGCTTCTTGCTATGTCTAGCTAGGAGCTGAGAAAATTAAATTATTTTAGCTAATTCAGACCACTGCTTCAAGTAAGGTAAACGAGTTCTCGGACATCAGACCTATATAAGCCGGTGTCCCTCAAGAGTGCATTCTTGGTCCCATCCTTTACTTCATATATACTGCCGACCTAACATCCCAATACCATCATCACCACCTACGCGGACGATATCGCAATAGCTCTAATCCTACCAAAGCTATAACATCCAAGAAAAACCTTAAGCTTATCGAAGTCTGGCGCAGAAAGTGAAGGTTAAGACCGAATTAAAAAAAAAAATTGTACTCAGTGCACGTTGACATTGAAAAAAACAATAACGCTCCACTGTACATCAGCGACAAAGAGATACTTAGGACTATACCTAGACATCATACGGACGTGGAATCCACACAGAAGACTCAGGAGATGACAACTACGAAGACATCTAGGACTGAAATCAATATTAAACTAACCTTATGTAAGTCTTTACTGCGACCACTTTGGATATGCGTAATGGCCCTATGGGCTTCTGCCAAGCCATTTGACATCCAGTGCGTACAATCCTTCCATCAAAAGTCTCCAGACAAATCATCAAAGCTTGTTACTACGTCAGACTTCACTTCATTATCCACAACGACCTCAACATTTTTGCCAACGAGCTGTTCCGTTCCCAATTTCAAAAGTTTAACTCCAATCTCTCGATCCATTCTAACCATAATGCACTTTCTATACATTCTTATCCCGATAACCCGCCAAATCGTCTTACCACCTTGCTCTTTAATACTTCACGGTGATTGCCATCATTGGCTGGTTTATCATGGCATGTGCAGCGTTGACAATACTATTAGTTCTGTGACCGTGTGAAGATTTTTTTTCGAGGGTTCGCAACAGCAGAGGTCATATCAGGTGTTTTTGAAAAACAGCCCATTTGTAAGTATGTCGGGTTCGAATGCAGGGCCGATGGATTCGAACCCGGGACCTTTACCTTACAGTGATGAGCGCCGTGACAACGCCTAAACCGTTGCGGCCACGGACGCCCCGTTCAGAAAACTTATTGTGATCGCATCTGTAATATGTCCAAAATATATAGGCTACAAATTTTAAAAAAAGTTAACTAATTTAAGTAATTTTTTAAAATATATTTTTCTGTGCTTTTGCGTGTACGTAGAATATCAAAGCTAATATGATTGGATTCAATGAGGGCAGATATAAAAAAATCTGCAAAAACCAAAAGACGCTTCGAGTAAAGTAGTATAAAAAAGGTTTTTAAAAAATCTATTCGGATTAGCTTTAAGCACCCTGTAAAACCATTAGAATATGAATTTTTGTAGTAATCGAAAAATGTAATTTTGGGCTTGATGGCGGAAGGCAAATGTAAAAAACTTTTGTGGGTGCTAAAAAACGAATATCAACTTTGTTTTTTGTTTAAACAAAAATAATTTAACCTACTTTGCTACTTATTAAATTCACTAGTTTTCGTGGTCCGCTTGACCAGTTAATATATTTCAATTAATTAAGGTTTTTAGTTGTGATAAAAAAGTCAG